TTGAGTGTAGTCTGATGTCTTGTGGCAAGAAGAAATAATGAGTAACCATACTGGGCACCTAGAACTGGGTGTTGGTGCTTCATTTAATAACTGTATAGTTTTTCGCACAAAGGAAACAAGCAGTTAAATCAAGGTTCCTTAGACCCCCCCCTAAAATCTTTTACCCCACCTTAACTATGCTGTAGCACAAAGAAAATTTAAATCTGATTTAATTGAAGCTAGAGGGTTCCCCATGCATCGGGAGTATTCACGAAGTGGGGTGGAGCTGTAGGTTCCCACATCAGCACCGCCACTGCTTCCTGTATCTGGAGGGTGCATGGCCAGATTGCAGCAGTGATCCCTGCTTGCCAGCAGGGCCCATAGGGGCCTCTGGCAGGCAGATTATAGTATAGTTCCACTCCAGTTTACATGAGGGGCCAGTGCAAGCACAGAATGGCCCTATGACCAGGGAACACACCATCAATTGCTCCAACAGCTCTCACCCAAAGAGTTAAATTGTCAGGTTTTATAAATATGCCCACAATTTATATTCTGAAGTACATAAAATCAACAGAAGGCAACATGGCCAATAAGGGGTTAATTCCAGAACAGCTTATTTTGTTTTGATGATAGGTGCTTTTTTTTCCTGTTTTGATGTTGAATGTTGGGTTTTACTAAGGATTAGGCAGTCAAAGATGCCAACCGAATCCTATGGAAATTGGATGTGATGACTGATCTGAAAGGTTTCCAGTTATTTGTTATAGGAGTTGTGATTCAGTGCAACAAGCAAATAGTAGCTTTTTATATAGTGGTGTAATAGAATCCTAGAATATCAGGGTTGGAAGGGACCTCAGGAGGTCATCTAGTCCAACCCCCTGCTCAAAGCAGGGCCAATCCCCAATTTTTGCCTCAGCTCCCTTAATGGCCTCCTCAAGGATTGAGCTCACAACCCTGGGTTGAGCAGGCCAGTGCTCAAACCACTGAGCCATCCCTCCCCCCATATAGTATAGATACACTATATCTATACTATACACTCTAATAGATGTATAGCATAAACTTCTGAACAGAAAACCATTCCATGTGTACTTTTTGGTTTCTCAACAGAAACTTAGTCTTGAATGAACAATAAATTTCAAGAGTTTAAAATATAATGATAGACATCCCCAGTAAGTTATCACACAGTTGGCAACCGAGATTGAGTTTCATTTCAGGAAGATCTTTTATTGCCTGTTAGCCGAAGAGAAAAATGAAGCTTTTAATCGCCAGATAGACTGAGGAAGATTCACTGACAGTCTGTACCTCGGAGGCAGCAGTCAGAAGGCCTGCTGAACCACCTGGCCCTTATCACACTAGTATTTAATATTTTTGAGAGGATGTGGGATTCACTGTAAGCAGTAACATTTTCATCTTTGTCAAAACTCAATATGTTTTGAGTAGTATGTTTTTGTTCATAGAATCTTAGGGTTGGAAGAGACCTTAGGAGGTCATCTAGTCCAATCCCCTGCTCAAATTGTTCCTGTATTGTGTTTCAAATCTTGGCATACCACTAGTTGTAGGTGAGGATAATCAGTTACTTGTAGAGTGATGTATTTCATGATTCTGAAGACTGCTGTTCATACTGCCTTTTTTAAAAAACAAACAAAAAAACCACACCCCAAGGCTAGACACCTGATGACAATTTAGATGTAGCAATTTATAGCCAACACCCTTACAGATCCTACAAACTTAAAACTAAATCCCTAGCCGTGGGCTCGGGGGGTGGCCCAAGAGAGGGGAAAAAACTGGGGAACTGATCTTTCAGCAATAGCATCTATTAGGACAGTGAATGTGTCTCAATTTAAAATTACTAAGGAAATTCCCTAAAAAAATCTGATTGATTGGGACATCTTAAGACAAATAAGTTTTTTACAATACACAATTTACTTTTGCATGTTTTTTGTTTTTCCCTGGGCAACATGCTTTTAAATGGGGTCCCACACATAATCATGATGGTTGCAATGGTAGTTAACTGTGTGGTCAAAAATCGCTATTTTGCATTTTGGAAGCAGCTTGTCTTCATCTGTACAACCATAAAAGATGGCCTTTTAAGTAACTTAAGTTTCCTAATCCTTTAAGAAAAATCATTTCCCTTCCAAAAATGTCTTTGTATATTGTTGGGGGCAGCCTATCATGTTATGAGAACTCAGGAGCGAGACAGGTGACTCGTTACTTTTCACATGGTTTTTCTCTTCTCTTGTCTCCTTAACTTGACTGGGTGGTGAAATGGGTGAACTTTAGTTAAGACATAATTAAGGTCTGAGAGTTGACTGGCATCAAATTTACACTCTGAGCAAGAAGCTATTTCCGGATAGAAATAGGATGCAGTGACTAGTTTGCTCTTCTACTTTTCTTTTTTTAGAGTACATGTGCAGACATTTCAGCAAAATAAATGTATTTTTGTGTTCTGTGTAAGGTATTGATTAACTTTGGTATCATAGCAATGTAATAAGTTAGTGTGAAGGAATTCCCAAATTGCTATTTACTTAAGCCCCTTCAGTTCTACTTTAATAGAGTATATTGCATGGATTTTACACGTTTTTAATACCCCATGTGACTAAGTAATTAAAAAAATCTTATCAAAACTGCATAAAATGAAGAACATACAAATTACCACAAGTGACTGATACAAGTCAAGTGAGTGTGGGATATCACCATTTGTCATTCAGTGACTTGAGTATGGAAGTGGGAGTCAGGAGGTCTGGGTTTGATTCATGAGTCTGCCATTTACTACTTTATCACACTATGCCTCAGTTTTCCAGTCTATAAAAGTCAATGACACTTGCCTGTTTACATAAGGCACTTCAAAATATGTAGGTAAATACCAATGTACTGGTATTAAGTGTGTTATAATAATCCAGTAAGTGTGACTTTTAAATTTAAAATTTCAAGAGAATTTTTTTTCTCATATAAGGTATTTACACGCACACACATACAAGTGATCTTAAAATTTCACCAAACGTTTATTTATTGGTGAAATTTTAAGATCCCTTAGAAAGCCACTTGTTAAAGGGTATATTGTTCTAGTTATATACGTGTTAGTGAAATGCAGTGAAACATGCATTGACATAAAAGTAGTGAAGTGCAACACTTCACTGAACCCTCCATATTCTGTTATGAAAAAGTGTGTCTTCACCCAGAAGCACATATGCTATTCAAAAGGTTTCACTAAAATGAATTAAATAAAATAGATTGTTCTTAAAAATGCTTTTATAACCTTAAAAATATTGTACTAATATAAATGGTTATGGTGTTGTGTAATGGAAAAATGGGTTATGGCTTACAGTTATTTCATGTTTTGTCTATGGCCTTTTTCTGTTCTAAATGGATAGCGTAGACTCATTGACACAACTATTTGTTTGAATATGGATTTGATATCTCCTGCACTTTAAAAATAAATTCAATTATAGTGGACTGCAGCTTGTAGTAATAAGAGGTATATCGTGAAATATTAATCTTAATCTATTGTGCAGTTATGTATCTAATTATATTTAGAAATGCATTTAAAAGGAGTAGTCGTCAATGAAAGTTTAAAAGCCGCTCGATAAAAGGTCAGGTGACCTATCAGATGTTCATATTTGTGGCGAGTTGGTTATATGAAAGAACTTTACCAGAGTGCATAAGGTACCTAGAATCTCTACCTCTCCCTTTTGAAATTCTCTTCTAGGTATTACTGACTTTGTTTCTAGTTTGCTAATAATTAACTTCTATAGTTGATAACTCCCAAACACATGATGATAAACTGCATAGTAATAAAAATGCTTACTCCTTATGTATAAAGTTATTGTTAATTGAATGCTGTTCTGTACTGTCCAGGTGGTCAGCATTTTTTTTTTTAAAAATACCAAAAAGTTTTCTCAAGGAATATTTGTCTTGTTTACCCTGATTTTTTTTCAAGAAAACTATATATAGGTCACTGCATTTTTATAGAATTTCCATTTCTATTCAGTGAGTAAAGTAAATTATTGGAAATAAGTAGGGTTTGTCCTCATAAGTACTAAGAAAGTGAAGCCTGATTGAGAGGGGACATGATTTTTTTTTTCACTACGACTACTTGAACTTTAACACTTGTGTAACTCAAAGGCTTAACAAACATCTGAGGAAAAGCTTTTGTGCTAAATATTCAACTTCCTCTTTTCAGTTAAGGATAGAGAAAGCTCCCAATCCACACCTCTGAGTCCTCCAAAAAAAGACCTCCAGGAAAAGAGGGATGACTAAACTAGACATCTTGATTTCTCCGAAGTAAAAAATACGCAAGGGATGAATAAAACTTTTGAGGTTTTTCCTATATAAAGAAGAAGCAAAAAGTGGGCACAAATCATTTCCTTCCCACAAATCATTAAATCTTGACCCTGTTGAAATCAATCGGAGTTTGTCGTTGACTTCAGTAGTCAGAATTTTGCCATTTAAGATTTTCTTAGTTAAACTTTAAGCCAGAGACTGGGATGTGCAACTACCACTAGGGGTTAGAATTGCATGTATTCATTTGCTGCTTTATAGGACATAATCTTGGCTATTTTGAATATTAGCATGACATATATTAAATCTTGAATTATAGCATTTGATAAATATTCTGCAATTATTTTTTTGTAAAATGTGTATTGGCTTGTAAGCTTCCATTTTTCCCAGAAGTATTAATTTGTAACAAGTTCTTTAATATAGAACAATATTTTAATTTTTGTAAAAAGATTGAATATTATTTTGGATATTTATGGCCATAAATCAAAACAAAAAATGATCAAATGGCATCTTTCCAAAATCCCATTTTGTCAAAAAATGTCAGTTGTATACTAAATGTTCCAACATTATGAAGCATAATTCTGGTTGTATCTGGTCTAATAAAAATATTGTATTGTTTGCAATTGCACATCTCAAACAAAGCCACAGTATGGGTTCCTAAAGTGTATGTAATAGCTTCTTAGCCAACTTAAGGTATAATTCTTTTTATTCTACAGAATTCCTTTTCCTTGACTTTTCTTATGTAGCAAGATACTGTTCTCATTGACTACTCACTACTTCAAAGTAGAAGATGGTGGTGAAAGATCTCTCTGTGTCACCTTTGGCTTTTTTTTCTTTGTCAAAGCCATGGCAATCCTTATTGTAACTGAAAATTATCTAGAATTTGGACTTGAATCGGGTAATTTTATGACAATATTTATGAGCTCTGTTTACTTTCATGTCATGTATCAATATTAAACCTTCAGATATCTTTTTTTAAGAGTATCTGTTTTAAAACAAATTCTATTTTAGATATACTTTTGAATCTGCATCCCCAAATATCTTTTATTAAAAGTACATCTTGTGTAATTGCCTTGCTTTCCTTTAGAGTATTTTTCTGTGTAGGCTATTTGTTTTTGTTAACTATTTGTTTACCTTTTTTATTTTGAACCCCTTTTAACCTCACATGGTTAAGTGAGGCTCCTCTGATGCTGAAAAATTACTTATATTCTTAAAGAATTAATGTAAATTTTATTCATGTTCATGGAGTGCACAAATATCAAAGGGATGTTTTCAAAGACTACTCCTGCTAATAACCAAGTTTTATTGCATTGTGGCATGCTAATTAGCACATGAAAGAGCTAAACCAGACTTATGAAAACTTATTTAAAAGATGTTCTGTTTTCTAGCATTTTCTTTCAGGAGATATTCCGTGTTTGCACCATGATTTAAAAAATAAAATGTCTGTTTCTCTCTGCAGGGTTTTCAAATTTTTCAGAAAGTGCTGTGCAGTTTCTTGAAAAGCAAGGTTTGGAATCCCAGTAAGTTTCTAAAAAGTACACCTGTGTGCTTTACACTACTGTAATTTTTTTTTACCATACCACTTGTTTTTTGGTAGCGAGCGTTTGTCTCTTGATTATTCACTTGTGTGCTTTGGTCTTGTACTGTGTTTATTAATGTGAAAGAACTGGATCAATACGACTAATCCAGCTCTACATTCAAATTACTTGACATGTCTTGGTCTAATGCTTTTTGTTAGTTTTCTTTTTTTTTTTTAAATTCAAATCAGTCTTAGGTTAAACTATTAAATATTGTTCAAAATTACAAGCATTTTTCTCCGACTACTTCTTATACAACCACTTCATCTTAATATTATGTAAACTTCGACACACCTCTGAGGGTAAGTATTGTCCTCACTGTATAGATAAGGGGACTGAGAGGTGAAATGCTTTGCCAAGGGTTACAGATGGAGCCTGTGGCAAAGTTGACAGTAGAAGTCAGTTTTGGCTCCTAGTTCTGTGTTCAAGCTGTTGGATCATATTTGCACAAGAGGCAGTATGAAACATCTGCCTTAGGACCCCCAGGTTTTATGTGACTGACAAAGGCATATCCTATAATCAAAGTGATGTTGCTTACATACTCTATCACAATAACTATAAATAGTCCCTTTTGCAAGTAATATTTTAATCTGTGTTTTAAAATATTTAGAGGATGTCAGTCACACTTACCCTTATATGAAGTGAATTGTGATGGTTGTGGGAACATGACTTTGAATTTCTTTTGGGTATTAATTCTAAACTGCCATATTAATATAATATTTTTGGGAAGGGGTATCTGAGGACTCTGGGTCTTAACTAAATCAACCTTTAAAATAACCTACTGAACGTTTTGCATTTCCTAACCTGTGGTCTATCCTCCTTGTAAATTATTCTGATTGTGGTTTGCTAACTTTTTAATTAATTTTCCAGTTAGTGCCTGTCTGTCCTCATTCCCTTTTGAACTGCACTGCAGTGTCTTGGCAATTTACAGGCAGCGATTGCATGGTCATGACATCTCTTGGGAGTTGAATGAGATGGATTATGAATGCATCTACTGAAATTCTCTTGTATGGGTCCCCTAGACTCTATTATAATTTGTTGCCCCCTATTAATAGTAATCTCTATTTGTATTGCATCATTTAGGTCTTTGATTCTCGCATAATCCTGAAGACGGGGGTGCAAAAAGTTCAAATACTTGATTCTAGATTTTGTTTAAGTCCATTATACATTTATGAAAATATTGCATGGTTCAATAATAAAAAAAGTGGTCCTCTTGGGAGATAAGTGAATTAAAATTATCCATTTATCTAATGGTGATAGGTAACTAGAGTAACAGTAGTTTAATATATTTGAGTGCTACTTAGTGAGTAAAGGTTGAATGCAAGCAAAATAGCATAACTTAAAACAGTGGCTAATGTACTTTAGCTTTTCTCTATTGATCAGTTTGATCTTACAGGTCGGTCTCTCTCTCTCTCTCTCTCTCTCTCTCTCAACGTTGTTTGTTTGTTAACTATTTCTGCTAACTGTTTTTATTCCTTGACCTTCACATAGACTTCAATATGCAGGATTATTTTTTGTGTGTTTTACAGTTAATGATGTCTCTTTTTTACAGGTTATTTTCTGCATAGTACCAAATTTACAAAATATATTTCTTGGAAGATTGTTTGTATTTTTCTGCATAGAAGCTTTTTCTGGCCTTTTTTTTAAATGTACAGTCTGCATGGGCTTACTAGGTTTTTATTCTAAGTAGCTGAATCTATTGCTAGTAATTCTAGGCTCAGCCAGTCTTGGCATCCTAGCAAGATGGAGTTAAACTGCTTTCTTCAAAATCTTGAATGAATGCCTTTTTGCTGTTATTTTTTTAAAAAATAGTTAATTGTTGGGGGGATGGGATGAAGTGTTGAGGAAAAAACCTTTAAAATTTTTAAAAAAATAATTTCCCTTTTTTTAGGGGTCCTGTGTCTAAACTAACCTTCAAATTGTTCCTGGCTGTTCTTTGTTCACTTATTGGTGCTTTTTTGACATTCCCTGGCTTACGACTGGCTCAAATGCATCTGGATGCTCTGAATTTAGCAACAGGAAAAATAACACAGTAAGAGAAAATATATATACATAGATACATGCTGTTAAGTCTTTTGAATATCTTTTTTTATGTACAAAGAAGTAATACAATTCATTTCCAATGAGAAACTAGTGATTCGCTAGGACTTCCTCCCCCCATTTCCAAACTGCTTTCTCTAGTCTTCCAATAGGCCTGCCAGCTTCCTTTGCACCACCCATACCTTCCTACTCAACCTGTACTGTCCGTCACTAGATGACTGGAGAGCCAATAAAGGAACGTTCTTTTCTCCCCTTCTTGTATAGGAGCTTCACACTGATTGGCTCTCCTTCTCCACTTTGGTCACATTTTTGGCAGATTAGGAAATAGTGATGAAAAAAGGCACAGCTGCCAGTTTCAGATGTGCTCCGTTCCCTGAGTGCTTGGAAGATTAGGGGTAGGGTACAGAAAGAGAATAGTGTGGAGAGAAGTGTTTTCAGGAGGGCAATAAAGAAAGCAAAACAAAATCAAGCAGAAAAAACTAACCCCTAATTTTCAGTCTCTTTTAAACCTCTGACTGGAACTGCAATTTCATTTTATATTTGTTGCACCTTAAATACATTGTAATTAGGAAACCATGTAGGAAGAGCAAGTTCAAACTGCAGCAGGCATGGAGTAGCATCTTTTAAAATGATAAAAGAATAAAATCCAAGTGTCATTTTCAATAAGGTTGAATAGGTAAGTGGCTATTACTTGTGACGCTATTTATATATTCACAGGTATTTAATTGGGGAGAGGGAGTTGACACCAGATTAAAGCCACATTTTCAAATCTAGCTTCTTACCTAGATAGAGGCCCAAATTCAGAAATATTTTATTTAATACACTTTAAAAGTCCCTTCAGGTTTTCTGAGTACCTAATCCCCACTGACAATCCTGGACTGTAATATCCTAATATTTAATTATACTTGTTCTTGGTGACGTATAGAATAAAAAATCTTGTGTGGCTATTTTTAATGTTTAATTTTGATAGTCCTTTTAATTTTCTTTCAGCAGCACCATTTGTGTGTGTGTGTGTGATTTTCTGTAGTTACCCATCCACCCCTTTTCCACGAATTGCTTTGAGTGCTTTCAGCCTTTCTCACACTACTCCAATGGACAAAAATGGATTCTTGCCACCCCTTTACACATTCTAGTCCACTAACCTAATGATGTGACTTAAATAAGCAGAAGAGCAGGTAAAAGCCTTTCACAAGCTACTGAACTGCTTTGAGCTGCTCCTTGATGCTGTAGTGTTCCCTAGCAACACTGCATAGCTAGCACTGCTTTTTTATTTCTGAACCAGTGATTTACTCAGACTGCATGATGAGATGCTTCTGAAAATACAAATACAGATGGTTTTAAGAGTCTTATTAGCAGTTTTTATTGAGTGACATCTGATATTTTTAGGATAAGTTTTTATTCACCTGGTTGTCTCCCCTATAGTATTGTAGCACTTCCTTTAGATATGGGAGTATGGGCAGTCTGGCTCAGCTAATATTGCATTGGTGCACTGGCACCAACACTTAATCCTATACCCACTGAAGTCGATGGAAATATTTCCATCGTACTTCAGTGGGTGCACAATCAAGCCCTTTTGAGGTTGTACTGATATTAACTTTATGAGAGGAACTGAGAATGGGCTTTATCTTCACAGAACACAGCTTCATTTAAAAAAACAAAAAAAAAGTTCATTCTTGTTTTGCACTCCCACAACTTGGTTTTTATTTTAACCATACAGTTTAATTTGCTGTGAATCCAATACCTTTAAAAGTAACTATTCTAGAAATGATCTACTATATTTCTTTTAACGTTTTCTCTCTGAGCGTCTATAATTGGATGCAAGTACCAAATTTCACTTTGAGTTAGTTAAGGTTCCCAATTAAGAAAATCTATACAAAATTGGGAAATTTGACTTGCCAGAAATGATAAATGTTTCCCTGATTTTGTGTGGATAACAAAAGCTTATCTTTTCAATAGTACAAAAATATTCAGATACATTCCTTATTTCACTTTCCACTAATGGAATTGAATATTTTCCATAATTATCAGTTTGAGATACTGAGTTCCTCGATTAAACATACATTATACCAATGTAGATATTTACAACAGTTGTCACTTACCATGTTGCTGTGTAACATGTGTTTCCTTATGGTTCATTAGAATACACTGAAATAGGAGTTTATTCAAAGTTGTGCACCTTTCACCACAGTATCTAATAATTATCATGAAATTGCACTGGCTAATTCTTTTGTTGTTAAAATCCCATAAGCATGCTGAAGAAAAAGAAAAAAAATCCCTATTTCCACTACTTTCTCATAGTTATTGAGAAACTCCCATATTATTTTTAGGCTTGGAAGGATTTGATTTTTATTGGTGTATGTCAGTAAACATTTATTTCAGCATACATACAAACTGAAAAAAAGATGTTTCCATCAATGATTGTTTGAAATTTACAGATAGGCAAAGTCAGAAAAGTGCTTCCTGAGTTTGAGCTTTATTTAAGGATATTTACTTTGTATATTTTTACATGTGATGTTGACAACTTCGTATTTTACAGTTGTCAAGCTTTAACTTTTTGACTCTCAACGTCTACTGGCATTAAATAATTTCCTGCCACTGTGAAAATTTAAATCTATAAAAATTGTTAAGAATGCTTAAAATTAAACAAGTATATTATCAGTCAAAAATATATTAAAAAAACAAATTCTGCCAAGCCTCATTATTTTCAACAATTTAGAGGTAGGAAAACCTGGATTACCAGTGTAATGATTGTATGTATTAAATATGTTTTTCCTTTTCTCTTTCCTTTCAGAACATTGCTGCATATAAACTTCTTGGCACCTTTACTTATGGTCTTATTGTGGGTAAAACCAATCACCAAGGACTACATTATGAACCCACCTCTGGGCAAAGAGAGCGTGCCTTTGTAAGGTTCCTTTTTAACATTTGTTCTGAAGTCTTAGGATCAGACTCTCACCCCCACTCTGTTCCATTTATGCCATGTAAAAGGGCTGAAGTGGCGTAAAGGGGCCTTAAAATCCCTGGTTCTGGCCATGGAAGGAATCCTTGGCTTAGACTCTGCAGAGATTCCAACATAGCCCTAGGAAGCTGGTATGGCATAGGCTGGGCTTGTTTTTCACTGCAGTATTTGTCAAGCTATAACTAGTGTTGTCCGAACTCTGTGCACACACAAGTGTCTAGCTTGAGTGATAAGTGGTGCTTTAAGCTTGAACAAGCTGGCCTATTACAGGGTATGGGTTGAAGGTCAAGTGCTGCTGACACCTGAGAGCTAGTCATGTAGTGGTGATGCAGCAGCTGAGTTAGCATAATTCATCAAACACTAATCCAATCACTCTAACAGAATTGCTGTGCTGCTAATCAAATAACTCTCTGTAGCTGGGGTGTTGTCTTGCAGTGTGGTCAGTAGAGTAGCTAACTTCCTTTGGGCAGGAGGTGTTCCTACACTGACAGAAAAACCCCTTCCGCAGTGTAGGCTGCATGTACGCTATGGGGTTATGCTGTGTCTCTGTGGTAGACATACCCTACATGTTTCCTGATTTGTGTATTGGAGAGAGTCTGCACAGTCACTTTATTTATTGAAGCTAAGTAATTCCTTTAATTTTTTTCAAAAATAATAATAATAATAAATAATAAAAACAACTAACTCGGTAAAAATAAGTTTGAATTTTTTTTACTGTTTCATTTCTAGAAATAAAAGCTGTCTAATAGCTGTGACCACTTTGTATGCCAAAGAAAGTTGCATTGGGAGTGAACTCAATAATTTAATTACAATTTGAGTTTTTGTACTTAAATCTTTAGTGTTTTTTTTAAATTTAGAAATAAATTATTGCGGTGACGTGGCATTTAACCTGGCTAGAGGGCCAAAGATGTAATTAGGCTATACTTCAGTTGATATTTTACAGATGTATAATGAGGATTCCAGATCTTAAAGCATTTGGAATGCATAGTTCTTATTTATTATTCTAGATTGCTTGAAATCGTCAATATTGACAGAACTTCCCAGTTTTTCCTGTTGCAACCACTTGGGTATTTATATAGGCCTAATGCTATGGCATGAGTAGGAAGTGTAAGGAACTAAGGGAGAAAGGAAAATTGTATAGTGCTTGCACATGAGCGCTATAAATAATTGTATTAAATATTTCCTTCAAGACATGTCAAGTTTTTTGTACAGATAATATAATGTAAACAGATATATAGCATTAAGTATAAGATGACTTTTGGAGACTATTACTATACTGTTTTGATCCACAGAATGTCAGAAGCAACATTTGATACGGTACGACTGTGGATAATTATCCTATTGTGCGCTTTACGGTTGGCCATGATGCGTCAACACCTGCAAGCCTACCTTAATTTAGCACAGAAATGTGTGGATCAGATGAAAAAGGAGGCTGGCAGAATAAGTACAGTTGATCTGCAGAAAATGGTAAGTAGAATGGAAGAAAAATGGTAAATGTATGAAGTGATTCGCACACGAATTTTAACATAGCTTGTTGGGCACAACACATTGCCCAGGCCTTGTACCTTTCCACAGGCTCAGAATTCACATCCAAAAATCATAAACTGAGAGGTTTCCTGAGTATGTTCTTTTACAAGAAGACTCCCATTGCAAGGGGAAAAACCCTCAAATTCAGAATATGCAGAGTTGAACTGATATTTTCCACACACCACAGCCACACAAACTAAACTGTGCTTCCTTTGCTCCATGTCCTAAGGAGTCCCTACAGGCAATCACAGTACTATACCTATCTCAACCTCTTTGTCCGGCATAATCTCTGGCAATCAGCTACTGTATTTCCAAGATGAATGGTGCGACACAGACTTCTGCAAAGGTCTGTGGAGTGTATTAATAAGTAGTGATTTGGACTTATGGTGGGCACAGAGGAAATGGGTGGCTTTGTTAGGAGAAGCAAGGGTGCTGTTATAGTCCCACTTCCACAGAGGCAAAGGTAAGGTTGTATGACTGTATACTGTGCTAAATGTGTGGAGATCCTTGAACTGTGAAAGGAACTATATACAAAATAGTATAAATTAAAAAAAAAAAACTCTTCCATTTTAAAGAGCTGAACGATATGGCAATTTTGTAAGTGTCTCAAAAAATGTACTCGCCTGCATGGACAAGTACTTGTCCATCTTGTTACCATGATACAACTGAATAATTATTTCTTTTTAGCAGTCAAATTACTGTGGCCAAATAAGTGGATAGAAATGTGTAAGGCCACTGTGTAACTATTTGGGAGGGATATGATAAAGAAAAGAACCAGAAAACAACCCTATAATCATGTAAAGCTAGGCCTCTGTCTTTTTTTCTATGCTTATCTGTCTTCCTCTATGGGTAGAAGGAATGTGAACTGTGTGTAACCTGTACTCCCCACTTTGGGGAAAGAATTCCTTATACAGATAAGCCTCCATGTTTATACCTACCCCAGAACTTCAAACAGACTGGGTTAACCGGCTTGAACTGGAAGAGATCACACTGTATGTTGAACCAGGCTATAAAAGCCCATCTCTGTTCTTTGTTCGGGGCTTCACCATTTTCCTCTGTAAAGGAATTGGTGAGCCCTTCAGCTGTCGTACTTGCTAGCATTAAAGTGCCTCACTTTATCAAAGAGCCAAAACTCTGTGTTTTGTTTGGCTAATACAGAAGTCCAGGGAAGGCTACCTTCCTAACCCTAGACGGGAGGGGAAACCTTTTTCCCTAACAGGCTCATTTTGCAGAGAAGTACGGAGTGTAACATGTTAGTCAGTCTCATGGGAGATGTGATATGGAAAGTGTCATATAGCACAAAAATGCACTTGTCTATTTTAGGTTTTTCAGTAATAGTACTTATCACAATGACCATTAATGTAGTATCTGTGTCACCAGTGAAATATTAAGGGGCTTCGAAGGGGATTTCTAGCCAATATTTTTTAGTCAGAAACATGGTGACTAATGTGGGGCTTCAGGATTAAGGTGGATTTATTCACAGGGCTCTTCTCACAGTCAATACCAGAATGAGTCCAGTTGTTGCTGTTAGGAACCTTGATGTTCTCTTTAATCAGCATCTTTCTGCACCCATGTTTCTCGTGTTATCTGGAAAATGCAACATCTTCTAAATATCTCAGTTAACTATAAGTTTTGTAATTTTCATATTGCAAAAGCCTATTCCATACAATGCCCTCTATTTCAGTCTTCCAAAATCCTCCTTTTCAGTCAGTTCAAAGCCACTGAACAAAATCAGTTTTTGTTTTATCTGACTATTTGTGTATCACCTCCTCTCTCTTTGGTCTTCTGTTGCTGTGACCAGGAAATGATCCTTCAAATCCTTTTCCTTTATAGGTTGCTACTTTTCTGTTTGATCATATTCTTTCAAAGGGGGAGCAGTCATCTTATTATGCTTTGGTTTCGTGGTCATCATACTTCCTCTTCGGTATCCAGTGTTTTGGAACTCTCTTCCCCATACTGTCTTTTTGACATTTTTTCATCTCAAAACCCTTCCCTCTTTTCAGTGCTATTTTAAAGAATTCCATGCCTTTTCATCCTCTAGGCAAGGCCAATATTTTGTTCTCACTTAAGACGTATAGTTGACTTTTTCATTGCTGATTTTGTTTTTTTTGACTTCGTCCTCTTATTTTTCCCCTAAAATAAGTCAACAGTTATATGTAATGTAACAGTAGTGATTAAGAGAGGAGGACCCACTCCCTGTGAAGAAATAAAATTTAAAAGTGGAGTCCAATAAAACATAATCTGAAGTGAAGATTCTTTACGTGAATTCTGTTAACCAGTTAAATTAACCACGGAGCTTCTATTCGTATTTCTCATTTTTCTGACCATTTTCATTTACTAATATCTCACATTGTTAAACAAAAGCACCTAAATCCCATTTCCCAAAAGGGACTTAGACCGGGGTGGGCAAACTATGGCCCATCAGACGTTTTTATCTGGCTCTCGAGCTCCTTCCAAGGGAGCAGGGTCGGGGGCTTGCCCTGCTCCGCCTGCCCGGTGCTCTCCAGCCGCTGATTCAAAATTCCCTTGATGAGCACCATCCTCTGGCACACAGAGCCACACTGCGCAGGCACATCTTCACCCCGCCTCTATGCAGCAGCACACCCAATCCCCTCCCAGTCTCCTGTGGCCCCACCCTTGAGAGCCTCGAAACCACTCGGGGACCACACCCATCCCAGCTAGGGTACTTCTGCCTGTGGCGGTGCCTGGTATGGCCACCTTGGTGTCACTGCCAGCAGAGCCACTAGGAGTCCCCAGTACCACCCATGTAGAGCCCCCCCCGCTCCGCGCCACACCCCATGAGTGCCTCCTCCCTCCCCCCCTTGGTAACATCCTCTATAGAGCCCATCCATGCTACGCCCCAAAGAGTTCCCCTCCTCCACCATGTGTTCATGGCCCGCCATACAATTTCCATACCCAGATGTGGCCCTCAGGCCATAAAGTGTGCCCACCCTGACTTAGATCCTTAGGAGCCAAAGTCTTATTGAAAGACAGTGGGACTTAAGCATTTGCCTAAGTCACTTTTGAAAATGAGACGTAGGCTTCTGAGTCACTCCAGCACTTTTGAAAATTTTTATCCAAAGTACATTAGTTTTGAGACTACTTTTTAACAAACTTCTAGTGTATAGAAATGCAGATAATTGAATTATAGCAATTTTTTTTAGAAAAAGTGAGATGAATGGGTTTTTTTAACTTTGCCTTTTGCAAGGAAATAACTAGTAATGTGCTCTTTAAATATTATGAAATTTTTATTAAGTCTGAAATTCTTCATGAAAAGTCTTTTTGAAGACAGTACTTTAGACGCTAAAAATCTGGTGGGAAAAATCTTTAGAATGAAGCTTCTCTCATAAAGATCACATTTCTTTAAGCTGCTCTGTTTTACTGACCATTGTATTTAAATGTTTGCTATGATCATTCATAACATGTCAGCTATGTTGAGAATTTTTGCACACTAAGTCACTCATAAGGATTTTGTTGGTTTCAGGTGGCCCGAGTATTTTATTACCTTTGTGTAATTGCATTGCAGTATGTGGCACCTCTGGTAATGCTGCTTCATACAACTCTGCTTTTGAAAACATTAGGTAAGCAAAATTTGATAAATGAAAACAGTGCATATGTTTACAAAAAAATTTCTAGTCCTATTATGAAAGGCTTTTATCATTTTATATCTGTCCATTAAAAGAAAGCATGTGTAACCAATAATATACAGAGATGTTTTCTGGTCATTTAAAACAGTAGCTTTAAGACAACTCTGTCTTCTTTCTGATTTTAAGACACCTGTTAACCAGATGTTAATTCCTATTTGTGATTGATATTCCAACAAGGCAACTATTTAGTATAACAAATTAAGATGTTTTATGTATATTGAAACATGGATTTTTTGTTAGCTTTTTACATTTTATAAACAATTATGCTTTATATATCATTTTATGGAAATCTGTTACATTCATTTTAGAAGATTTCATTAAGTCTTAAAACATCCTTAAAACTGCATGGACTTCTTGAACACTATTTGTAAATGAGGCATGGGTTTTGTTCTTGTATTAAAAAGACTAGAGCAAAACCAGACATCATGAAGGATATGTCTTTCACTGTCTTACCAGATCTACTGTAGTGAAATTAGGGAGTTGATATCAGGCATGTTGCAATTTCATATTTAGAAAGTTATTTAGAAATAATTTTCTATTTCTAATATGTCGAGGATACTGTTGCTACATTTATAGATTTGACTAAAGTAAAAGGAGTTGGAATCTAGTTGCTTCATTTATTATCTTACTTTTAACAGGTAATTATTCCTGGGGCATCTATCCAGAATCTAGCTCTGACTTTCCAGTGGAGAACAGACCACTTCCCAGTTCAGTTTACTCTGACTCTCCATCTGCTGATGGAAAGATGAAGGTAACTGTAGTACAAATAACAATGGCATTGGGCAGCCTAAAGAACATTTTCACTCCTCTCCTATTCCGAGGACTCCTGTCTTTTCTCACTTGGTGGATTGCTGCTTGCCTCTTCTCCACAAGCCTTTTTGGGCTTTTCTATCACCAGTATCTGACTGTGGCATGAATAATCAGCTCACAAAGGAAATGTATGAAATTAACTTCTCAGTTCAAACCCATGTACCCCAGAGGGGCTGAAGAAAAAAATGGAAGAATGCACACGTGAATTAAAAACACATATCAAGTTTTATTCTTAAATGCTTCCTCTGTATTCTCAGGGTGAATATTATGTTTAAAATCACAAGTGGGTTTAACTTTTGTTACCGAATGGTAGGTAACTAACTGCTGAATTATGATATTGGAACTGTGACTAACTTTTTTGAGTGGCTGATATTGGAGGGCTAGTTAAAAGAGTAGCGCCTGTGGGTACCTTGCTTTCCATTAACACTAAGCCACCCTCAAAACTTTGTATACTGCTTCAGTCGTTGACTGATGACTCTTAGTGGTATTGAGGTACAGGTAACACTCATGGTGGCTGCCTAGTTAAACAATCTTGAAACTGAGCCATACAATGAGGAGAGAAAATAATTTCTGTTGGAACGATATTGATCACTTTTCTGTTTGAAAAGCAAAAAAAATCCAACAGGACAAAAGAAATACTGTATATTACAGTGAAGAAAGCTATGTAATATTTGAATTTAGGGTAGGAACAAATGCATGGACTCTGCAAGTATTGCTGCTGAAGAAATGCAGGAATGCTCATGTGTAAGAAGAATATTATAAAATATATATATTGTTTCAATCCCTGCAGCCATTTTAAAATAATGAATGGCCATATAAACCCTTGCAAGTACAGTATTGGTGCTACTGTTGATCCACAGATTCCATTTGGGTCTTTTAAATTTCATTTTTCCAGGTAATAGATAAATTCCATTGAATTCACAAAATATTTGGAATAGATTATCAACACTGATCAAACTGTTTAAAAAGAATAACTATAATCCTGCTGAGTGTGTATGTATCTGTAAGTATATATAAATATATATTATATATTAAATATATAATATATATGGAGTCTATAAAAATAAATATTGAATCTTTAAGTTTGCTGAATGTATGTTACAGGGCAGTGGGACAGGGACATATATGTACCTAATAAGTTCAAGTTCTCTTTTTGAATGAAAATTAATTTTTTTTTTTTGAAAATTCAGCTGGAAGGGCTATTTTTTGGTGCCTCTACAAAGGTATTTAACTTTAATAAAGAACCTTTGAGTTTTATTGAAAGAGATTGACCCAGAATCTTATCTTTCCTGCTCTGTGTGATCTTTGTTTGTTAGTCTAATGTGAGGTTACCCCGCTGATGTAGAAATATTGAACATCTTTTAGTCTCAGAAATATATTTTCTGTACATAAGTTTTAAAGCGTATAGTAAGGAGGAGTAAAGTATTAATTTGACAAGTTTTGTTCAGTTTGAATAACAGTTCCTAAGTGGAGTATTTTGAGAACAAATTAGAAGGACAGCTTTTTTTTTTTCAGTTGCTTTGTGTATACTGTAATCAGAAATGCAGGATTGGGAATTAATGTGGGGTAACTTTTTTTTAAAATTTTACTTTAAAAAAAAAAAAGTGCACTGCAGAAAGATATCTCAGTGTTTAGTATGAGAAAGTAATATTAGCCTTACATAGAAAATATGGGTAATGGTTTTGGGTTTCTTTGAATTATTTGTGTAAAACTTGGAATATAGTAAACAAATGGAAAGACTGTTACAAAATGCTTAATTTAAATGTTCTAAATCTGTGGTATGGGAAAACAAAGCATCAAAGAATACTGAAAATTAAGGATTTTAGATAATTATCCATTCTTCTCTCTCCATCAAATAGTTTTGAAAGCATTCAAAAATATTTTAGCTCATTTTCTGTTACCATAATAAGGTTTATATACCACTACTTCTCACCTGCATCCCCCACTGCACGCACACGCCCTCTTAAATATCCTGACAAACCTCTTAGATCCTGCCAGTTACCGTAGGAGTATAGTACTTCATAGCTAACAGTGCTGTAAACTTCGCTTATACCCTAATTTTTAATAGGTGATAGTGGCAACCACTATCTGAATGGCCTAAAGAATATTTGACTTCATAGATTCAAAACTTGAAACATTCCTATGAAAAATGCCCTTTCAGATGATTGACAGATAGGTCCAGCAATACTGGACCGGCCCATTTGCTGGGTGTGTGTTGTATATGATTAGCAATGAAAGAATAAGGTAGCCTTATTCTTAGGGCCCTACCAAATTCATGGTCCATTTTGGTCAATATCAGGGTTATAGGATTTTAAAAATCAGTCAGTTTGTCTTACTGACTGATCAAACTGATATACCTGGAGAATTGACTTTGATAAATCAAGAAACAGCTTGATTGTCTTTCTATCTTTGTTCTGATTACCATTTCTAGCCATTGCTTCTTGAATGTTGCATCCAACCCTGTGGTCCTGCAGGTTTCCGGTTGGCTATGGGTGGAAGATATTCTCTCTTCAGTGACTTTCATTGACTTAGAATCTTGCATAATCCATGGGACTTCTTCTACAAAACCTATCTAGGTCAGAAAATCTTTCTGACATGGGGGAAATGGACAAAAAAGAAGTAAAAAAGGACATTACTATAGTGATGAGTATGGTATAAAATAGGTCTGTTGACCTATAGTTGAATGGCATCTTCATGAGCAAATGAATAACCTGTTTTGTGCTTCATATTAAGTCATTTCTAGTTATCTTTTACCCTTGTGTATCTGTCTGCCATTCTCAACAGTAACCTATAAAGGAAAAAGTAGGTTTGTGCTCTTTTTTGTTGTTGTTGCATCTTTATTATGTATAAAGAAGGCTTATGGGGTATGGACTTTGGCAGGAGTTCTCCTTCTTTACATTAAAAAAAAATAAGGTTTTCTTCGTTTCTCTTGGAGGATTATATGGATAGCTGCAGAAAACTAATAGGTTTCAGAAATACAAAGCAAGTAATTCCCTGACTGAGAGAAAGCAGTTTTTAGTCAGGCTGCTTAAAATGTTGTGTGGCTTTCTTCACAAATTACCTCTTTCTGAGAAAAAGAACTGGGAGATAAGATGTCTTTGGTAAAGATTCAACAGCCCTGTCCATTCAGTTAAGAAGATGTGGCTTGTGAGCCAAAGGACTTGACTAGAGAGTGTGATTTTTTTAAAACCCACTATTTTAACTAAATTGAAGTTTTTGTCTTAATTGAGTTTGTGGCTTATTTCAGTTTAACTTGATCTGTTTATTTTTTACAAGATTAAACTAAACTGAAATAAGAATAGCAAACCACAAACTTGCACAAGTTTAACTAAATTGGTTAAAATAATATCTTTTTAGTTAAATGGGTGTGTCTAGACCAGGCTTGAGACCTCTGAGTTCTCATCAAAAAGTAGGGAAGATCAGCTGTGACATTCCTGATAGGAACTCTTTTTAAGCTTAGAAATGTTTTTTATACATCATAGGAAAGGAGAAAAAGTCATAAACCAGCATTTTTCACTTTGCAGGGTACCTTGGAGTGCCTTTTGGGCTGTACTATCATCATGTGTATATTTCAGTAATTGAAGAGGTCTTTGGGATTTCCCAGCTGCCCAAAAGTTTGCAGTTGTTTGCAACCACAAATTCTGTGTCCTCTTTTTCTCTCTCTTTTTTTTTTTTTTTAAACCTCTTTCTTACATAAGAATCAATTGGTACAACAAAGGAAAAGGGCATTTGGTATCAGTGAGAGAGAATGAACAGCATTATATGGAAGAAGAGCTGCCTTAGAAGATTCATTGCTTAAACCCAGTGTTACATAACATCAATCCTTTATTCAAAGGAGATGGAGAACTTGTGAATAGGAATTACACACTTATGCCCTAATTATAAAGTCAAACTTACCTAGAAGCAAGCAGTGTGCCATGAAGATACGTGTTAGCTGTCTAAACCACAACGCTCAACTTCTGAGTATATAGTATGGTTATTGAATACAGAAAATCCTAGCTAATCTCATCCAAACACCTGTCTGTCTCTCTTTACGTCAGCCACCCATGGGCGCAGAATTCACCATTGCTAATTGAGGTCTTAGGTTTAATATTTTTAAATAAACTTATGACTATGAAAATTGTCCTCATAGATAACAATATTGTGAAGTTAGTGGTGCCATAAAATGGAAGCCCTTACACCTTTTTATTCTCAAAGACCCTTAGTGTTATACTTTTCCCTTTTAAGCATTAGCTCACTTTCCATAGAGGAACTTTGTGTTATGCGAACCAATAGCCCCCAAATTTAGTACTGCACATAGTCTATTGCCATTGCTTTTTTCCCCCCACAAAGCTCCTAAACATTTTACTCATGCTTGAAGAACAATGTCCATAGTAAAAATAGAAATAATGAATGAAAATACTCAAAGGCCAAAGGAGCTGAAGTGTTTTATCTTAAGGAAATGTTCCTAAGTCAGAGTGGGATCTTAATAAAAGGAAGAGAGCAGATTACTAGTGTTCTGAATTTTAAGATGAACATTTACTATAAAATAACAAATAAACTGTTATTTTAATCTACAGCTTAAATCCCCCCAAAGAAGTATTAAGGGCAAAATCTTGGGCTCTCTGATAAAGGCGTACTCTCCGTAGAGTACAAGTGTTACAGAAATATTGGATACACTGTCCTGTTGTTGGGCAAGATGGCTTAGGACAGCCAGTCACGCTGTACAGTGACATGCAGGTTGCTTCTCCTTTGAAAAGCATCAGCATGCCCACCAGTAGTACAGCACCACACAGTGTTGCCACCTAGTTGTCATTCCCAGCGTGAGGTGGGATGGGAAAAGCCTCCCGAAGTGGTTCTTACTCACTAGCATGCCCACATTGCACCAGTCAGGATTTTGCTGTAAGGCTTCCTTGCTGCAGTCTGCTCAAATTTTTTACAAGGAAGTTTAAATTTCGCTTTTCCACAAAGTCTCTAACTTTTGAGGCGATTTGCTGAAGCCCAGAGAAAAGTAAACCACAAACCAAGTCTTTTTTGAAATCTCCCATTATTGGTTGTCAGGTGAATAATGATGTACTGGCCATTGTTTTGAGAACCAGTATATATGTATTTTTATACCTTTGTTGTAACAGTGTTTTTAATGTTTTTAAGTTTTAATGTTTTTAAGTTTATTTGTAATCCTGATGCCATGGAACATGTCCTCGTGTTTATTCATGTCAGTGCCTCCAATTAGATCAACTGTTTCTACATGTTGATTCTTGTTTAAACTTGAAGCCCAGATTGATAAATTTATAACAAGTATAAGCTTAATAAGTATATACTTATATAATAATATATATTAAGTATATACTTAATTAAGAAGTATAATTTATAACAAGTACAACTCGGTATCAGTCTGTAAATGCCAAACAGTTCTTTAGGTTTAGATTCCCATTATTCAAAATCAGGAAATGGAAGAAGCTGAGATCTGTAATATCTCTTAACAACACAGTATGTTCATGACTTTGGTATAACATTCGTGGGGGAATCCTGTGCTAAAAAAATTAAAATTCTGTGCAGAATATTTTAAAATATTGCATATTTTGTCAAAATAATGCCATATGACCATGTCAGTTTCAATTATTTTGGTAATTTATTTAAACTACAATACAATGCATGGAGAAAGGAAGTAGGGAGTGTTGGAGGAGATCCCCAAATTCCCTTTGTCTAATCATATGTCGCTAGGTTTGACCTTTTTAGTTCTAGTTATTAGTCAACAAATATATGCATCCGTATGCTCAGTATTACATCGTAGGCAACTGAAGAGCACGTGAAGGCTGGGAATTCAAACTCACAATTTATATTAGCTACTGACCATTTCCAGAAAGGCCGACAGTAAACAGTTCTTGGAGCACATTTTGATAGGAAAATTTTTCAGTCCAAACATTTTGAGCAGTTCTAATCACTAAAGCACCATAAGCATTGATAAGGCTGTTTTATGCTCCTGAGGGGAATTCACTAAGAATGGGAACAGTTCACTAACAATGATGGGAACAACTAAGCTGGCAGGCTGCTACATTCTGCTCTGAGGGGACAGAGTCTACCTCACACATACCTCCAAACACCCAGAAGCCCTACCCCTCCACATGGGATGCACCACAATAGCGAGTGAGAGGGACAAAGTCTCTTTTGCTTGCATGCCTGCACACCCAGCCCCCACTCTCTCACAGTGATTTACATCTCCACTGGCTGCTCCAGGTACCCAAGCCAACATGCCCAAGGGGCGAGTGACTGCTCTTGCAGCTTCCCTTTGCTTCCCTGTCAAAAGTCATTTTTCTGCAGGAAAGCAAAACATTTTTGCGGGGGATATGAATTGTACACGTGCACAGTGGCACAGAATCCCTCCAGGAGCACAAGTAGTAAACCTCCTGTAGCATTTAAAGAAGCAACTTTTCGAAAAGTCTTACTGGTTGGCCATTTTCAATTACTTTGTGTGATAGTTTTGCTGTATTTTTGAAACCTGATTTATGATGTTTTATGCTTATAAAACCAGGCTTTGCCCTAATTTTCAGTATTCTTTGTAACTTTGTTTACCTCTTATGTACTATTGTCTTATGTACTTCAAAAGCAGATGGGTATTTACAATATTTTTCATAAAAGGTAAAACAAAGAAAAGTATACCAAAAATTCCTTTTTGTAAATCTGATTCTTACATGTGTAAACATGGTGTGCCAACAAAAACTGTATTTCTCCTGTTTCTGGTTTTCCTGTCTTAACTAAAGTGGAATATGGGCATGATTTATCTTGCATTGTCATAATATGAGTAGATAAACATTTTTGAGAACATTTATCTGTGGCAGAAATGTGGGGGAGGGGAACCCGCTTTTATCCTAGTATATCATTCCCTTTTAAGTATAAGGACATATTTGTACTTAAAAATACTATTACATTGTTTAGGCCCAGAATTTCACTGAAGTTAAAATTGTTGTAAACTGTAAATTATTGCAAACTGTACATGTCTCCAGACTGTAAATATTTTTTAAATCTATCATAGTTACTGGGAACTTTAAAAATTAATATTTTATGTATAACCTGACAATTGTTGCTCTGTTGCTACTGAAATAGCTTTTGTTAGCAAAGGGTACATAGATCAACACATCCTGTTCCTAGAACTATGCTGGCATTGACAATATTGATGCTCACAAAGCAAATTATCTGTAACAGACTGTGACCAAGAGATGAAAAATCTTTATTTGCCCATGGAAAAGGTCAAAATTTACGGGAAACTTCCAAGTCCCCCTCTCTAGATTAGGGTAGGTTTTCAAAAATTTCCCACTTACACTTTGAGTTCCACCATCTTGGCAAGATTAAGCACCTTCATTTGATTGTCTACCAGTTATCACTGTTTTAAAACACCATATTGATTAGAGCTGCTCTGAGCAAAGTTACATGACGTGGTGCTTTAAAATCAGGCACACCACCTATGCTGTACTGCAGAAGGCTCCCAAAAGTTGATAACATAGTGGAACCTAACTGGTATTGGCAAAGTTGCATCATTTAAAAAAAAAAAAAACAACCCCAAAAACCAGAGGATAAGGGTACAATATTACCAATGTCTACACAAAGAACAAACTCCATCTTCTGTGCATGCAAGGTGTTACTAAAGTGCCTGGACCTGCACATCCTAGAGCAGATACTAGGAATGACATTTTCAAGCAGACATTTTCTAAAGTTGTGCACATGCCTTTGTGCTTCTCTTGGTAGGTATGCATACCTAGAAGATAGCCTGCATTTTCTTAAAAAGAGATCAGCCAGTCTGTAAAAACTTGCCATGGGAATTTAATTTTAACTCATTGAAATATGTGTGTGTATATGTATAGATGGATGATGTGGAAAAATAAATTCTCATGGCTAATATTTTAACTCTATATACCTTTTTATTTCCAATAAGTTTATTTTTTGCTTTTATTGCATAAATATTCCAAGAATTCTGCCTTCCCTTTACTGTATTTGTAAGAACACCTCAGTTCTTCTTACACTTTCACACTTTTTCCATACTTGAGATTAAAGAAATTACAATTCTGTACCGTTAGGACTGTCTGCAATGGAATGGTTGACTTTGAAAGAAGTTTAACACCTGCTTTGCTACAAGTTTATAGTTTGAGCTCCAGTCCTGCAAGGACTTACGTATTTAACTTGATCTCAATGGGACTATTCATGAGCATTAATGAGATGAAACCTAGAATACAAAAGAGCAGGAATTACTTGGACGTATGGAGCTGAACATAATGGATCCAAAACAGGAGACCAGTGTTAACTGTTGTACAGTTTTTTAAATTTTGTATTTTTAATAACAGCCTTATGTACTGTTGAATGCTTTTGTTAGGACAGTGGGCTGCCAGCTTGACTTTTAACTATCTTTTATAAGAATTTGCATGCTTTAAATTTTAAGATTAAAAAACTCTATCAAACATGATCAGTCTGATTCAGCAGAAAAAAAGTGATGAAATAAACATTTTTAGATTCCTAGTCTGGAGGTAATTATTCTGCATGTTACCTGTAAAGTGCTTGTAACTTGAACTGTTTGCATTGAATTAAGTCTGTACCAAAGGAAGCACTCCTTAAAGGAAGCCTTATAGTGTGAGCTTTTAGCTCTAAAAAATGGCTTTAGCAATTAGTATATTTAATGTATATAGCACATGGTTTGGGGAAAACTTGTTCCTGTAAGCTACTATACATTAGGTTTTTTTACACTGTGTGTAAGAAATTATGTTGCTTATTGCTGCTAATGGTTTATCTGGAGAATTTAAGATGATTTTCTATCTTGCTTGAAAAGTGTTAGCATGTGTCAGGCAGCATTTTCCTAATGTTGATGAACATAGTAATAAAGCTCACTAAGTTTCAATGTTAATTTAATAAAATTCTGTGAAATACAAAGATTATGCTTTTTGAGCTCCCCAGTTGTCATTCGGTGAAAAATTTGTAATTTATGATTGTGGTTGATTATACAAACATAAAATAAAATTATGCGCTAAAAGAGAACGTATATTGGCTAAAGTACTAGTGGGGTTACCACAGTGACTGCAGGGAAAGCTGTTGATAAACTGCTGTATGTGGACTCACTTCAATCAATCTTGTTTGGCTCTTCATTGCCAGGGGTATTGTGAAGGACAAAAGTCTAAGTGAGTTTGAAAAAAAATTGGTAACATTCATAGAGGATAGGTCAATCAATAGCTGATGGCCAAGATGGTCAGAGACACAAACCCCATGCTCTGGGTGTGTGACTGCCAGAAACTGGGACAGGATGTCAGAGGGGTGTATCATTCAATGAATTACCGTTATGTTCATTCCCTGTGAAGCATCTGGCACTGGCCCCTGTTAGAAGACAGGATGATGGGCTAGATGGACCATTAGTTTTGACCTGCTGTGGTCATTCTTATGTTCTTAATCTGCTTGCCTTTTTAAAGCTTTAATTCAAATGAGGGATTTAATGTTTGATGCAATGTTGGTGGTTTAGAATTTGCTAAGTGTAATAGAAGTGTTCTAATCTTTAGTTAGCATATGTCTTGCTTTTATGCACTGAAACCTTTTAAACTGTTTGTTTATACAACATATACTGGGCTGCAGTATAATTGCCATTATTTTATACAGTGCTGCCCAAATCAGAAATAAGGCAACTTTTAAAACCAAAGGTCAATAAATGTTTCATTCTTAAATTTGATTTTGTATATTTATACATCTTAAAATTATACTAGTTACTGGTTCTGCAAATTTGTGCAAAACTGACTTCCAAGGAACTATTTGACAACCTAATTAACTGAATAGCGCTAGTCAAAATGTTTAATTGATTTAGCTTTGTTAAAAAAAAATCCCACAAACACCTTGATTTTTGTGTGAAAGTGTTTTGAAAACATATTTTAGAAACTTTAAAGGAAGAAATGTAGCAGACATGTAATGTGTTAGTTCAATTTGTGTGTGGGAGGGAGGTTAATTACTACTGTGTGACTTGATTGGTAAGCATAGGCCTTGTCTGCACAATTTTTGCTCCAGTATAATTGTCGGGGTAATTTTTTTTTAAATCAGTATAGTTAAACTGATACAACACCTAGTGTGGGTGCAGTTGTACTTGAATAAATGTGCTTATACCTGCATAGCTTGTTGCACTTCCTATTTGGGAATGAGCTATCCTGGGATAACCACATTGATACCAGTATAGGTGCATCCACACTGGGGGGATTTTAGTGCTTTTATGCTGGTATAGCTAAAGCAGGACCACTCTTGTGTGCAGATGAGGCTTTAGTCATGTGAGTAACAGTCCTACAACTGGCTCTGTGCAATTGCAAAGATCTGCCCACAGAGAGCCGGTTGCAGCATCAGACTCACAGAGAGACTTTTTCATAGATTCTAAGGTTGGAGGAGATCATTGTGATCATCTAGTCTGACCTCTGTATAGCACAGGCAATAAGTCCCGCAAAATAATTACTAGAATATATCTTTCAGGAAAACACCAAAGTTTGTTTTAAAAATTGTCAGTGATGGAGAATCAACCACAATCCTTGATAAACTGTTCCATTGGTTGGTTGGTCTCACTGTTAAATATTTACACCCTTATTTCCAGTCTGAATTTGTCTAGATTCAACTTTCAGCCATTGGATTGTGTTTATGCCTTTCTCTGCTAGAGTGACAAGCCCATTATTACATATTTGTTCACTGTGTAGGTACTTAGAGACTGTAATTAAGTCACTCTTAACTTTCTCTTTAAGATAAAAGAACAGGAGTACTTGTGGCACCTTAGAGACTAACAAATTTATTCAAGCATAAGCTTTCGTGGGCTACAGCCCACTTCATCGGATGCATAGAATGGAACATATAGTAAGAAGATATATAAATATAGATATAGATACAGAGAAGGTGGAAGTTGCCATGCAAACTGTAAGAGGCTAATTAATTAAGATGAGCTATTATCAGCAGGAGAAAAAACTTTTGTAGTGAGAATCAAGATGGCCCCTTTAGACAGTTGACAAGAAAGTGTAAGCTCCTCTGGTCATCAACTCTGGTGGGTGGAGACATGCATCTCTTCCTTCCTTGCCTTCGCTGTGTTATCCCCAGCAATAGGCAGTCTGCCTGACCAGGACTGCTTTCTTTCTTTTTCTGAATCAGTTAACAGTGTTGTTGCACACAGTTATAAATTACTACACAGTTAAAGTAAAAAATGTTAGAGAGAAAACATTAAAAACAATAAAAGAGCCTACATACATGCTAATAAACTCACCAGAGATCTGGTAACTTACCTCAACTGTAGCGTAAGTAAGGGATTTTCAGAGGCAAAGCTCTTTCTGGGCTTCAGCCTTCTGGGTGGTGGAACGTGTCCTTTCAATGGGTGTCTTAAATCATGCACCTGTTTTTATTTCCTTTTTACTAAAGGCATCTTGTCTCATTGATGGTGCGGTCCCTGTGAAGCAGTATAGCTACTGTGTAGTAGGAAGAGAGCCTGAGACATAAACCCTTGTATCAGAGACCTGATATGAGGCTCACAGAATCTGGCAAGAAACAGGGCTGATATTGCAAAAATGCACATTCTTAAGAAGTGCTACTCTCAGAGTGTCCACGCAAACACCTCCTGATATCAAGTGGTACCAGAACATTTTAATATTAAGGATGGCACAAAAACATTCCTCAAGGATAACACCCTGACCATTCCTAAAAGATAAGGTCAGGATGACAGTACGTGATAGAGATGTTTTGATTGAACCAGCATGTACAAAATGATGGGTGATAACTAGTGATCTTAGGAGGCAGTAACTAACTCTGTGAAAGGGGCAGTACTAACTTGTTTGTATCGGGGTGTGATCAGGTCACTCAGGGTGAACTGCAAAGAATGGGGCAGACAATCCCCAAAGCTGGTTGATATTCCAATACGTAGATTTACCAAGCCAGCACAAAACAGCTTCTATAATACCTCACTGGTTACCCAGAAGCCAACAACACACCTCCCTTAAAGTAACCCAGCCTTAGGTCTCCACCCAGACACCTAAGTCAAATGTGATGAGGATTGCTGAAAATTCTATTCATCATATAAAAAAGTTCTACCAATTCCAAAGGATTGGACACATTACCTCTCAGGTTAATGAATACAGTGGAGTCTCATCTTACGCAGGGGTTAGGTTCTAAAGTCAGCGCGTAAGGCAAAAATTGCCTATAGTCAAAATTACCCTTGAAAATCTCTTAAATCGCCCATAAAGTACAGTATACTGTACCTGGTTTTGTGTATACTACCCTGTACAGTAATATGTATAATGTATACAGTAATGTACAGTATATAATAGTACCTATGCAAAATATAATTTTACAGTACTGTATTTTTAATTACTGGGGTAATTACAGAGAGTCGTCAGGGCTTGATGTCGATCCAGGAGACGGAGATGACAGAGAGCTTGGGTGACGAAGAGCAAGTTGTAGACGAAGTGGTTGGCTTTGGTTCAGCTTGAGAGGTTGATTGAGTATGTTCATCTGCTGCTTCCTTGAAAAACATGGTGATCAGCAACTGTCACTGTTGTCTCTTGAGCTGCTCGAACATTTCTTGATACGGTCTCAAATCGTCCGTATTAGTATGTGTGATTTTTGAGGCTTCGTTCCACAGAGGGATAATATTCAGAAATTAAATCAAGTGTTTTGCTGCTTAGGACACTTCTGCAAATTTATGAAGATTCCAACTTGCTGGCTCTTCCTGTTCGTTGTCATCATCTTCGTCTTCTGTAGACTATTTTGTCAGTTCCTCTAACTGTTCGTTAGTCAATGTTTCTCTATGGCTCTCAATTAATTCTTCAATTTCTTCCTCAAGGATGTCGACGAAGCCATCGCCACCCACTTGCCTGGCCACCTGAACAATGCGTTTCACTTCTTTGTCAATGGTCGGGAAACCCTTAAAATCATGCACACATTCTTTCCATAGGTTTCGCCAACATGCATTGACTGTTTCAGGCTTGATTGCATCCATTGCCTGTTTAATATAAGTGATGCAACTGGCAATGTTGAAGGACTTCCAACACTCCATCACATTAAGATTGGGATCAGCATCCATAGTGCTACGTATTCGTGAGAAAGTAAGCCTTATGTACATGGCCTTGAAACAGTGAATCACACCTTGGTTGAGAGGATGGAGGTGGTATTGAGGGGGAGAAAGACTACTTCAACGTAGTTATGCGCAAACCAGAGTGTTGCAGGGTGGCGAGGAGCATTGCCTATGATCAGGAACACTTTAAAGTCAAGTCCTTTCTCTTCGAGGTACCACTTTTCCTCCGGAATGAAACACCTGTGGAGCCAATCCAGAAATAATGCTGCCGTCACCCAAGCCTTTTTATTTGATTGCCAGAACACAGGCAGGAGATTTTTGTTCTTGCCTTTTAGGGCATGGGGATTTTCAGCCCTGTAGAGCAAGCCCGGCATTTATTAAATGCCCAGCCACATTGCCACAAAACAACACAGTCACACGGTCTTTAGCTGCTTTGCAGCCAGGGGCTGGTCTTTCTGATTTCAAAGTATAAGTGCGGTTGGGCATTTTTTTTCTAGAAGACCTCAGTCTCTTCAGCATTAAAAACTTGTTCTGGAAGATAGCCTTTTCTACTATGATTTTCTTTAATTGTTCGGGGTAGGCTTTTGCTGCCTATTCAATGGCAAATGCAGCTTCACCAGCAGTCTGCACGTTTTTGAGGTTGAAGCGGTTCCTAAAACTGTTAAGCCAACCTTGGCTGGTTTTGAATTCCTTCTCATCAGAAGGCTGTCCCTCTTCAGCAGGAGGTTTGAACAGCGCATAGAGGCTAAGAGCCTTTTCTCGTAACATGTTGCCATCGATAGGCACACGTTTACAGTTCAGGTCTTCTAGCCATAAGTTTAATGCCTTTTCAGTCTTCACTAAAGTCTTATCACGCAGCTGGCTCGT